TCTGAACTCTTCATACATATATATATATATATATATATATATATATATATATAAAGGTTTTACTCCCGTCCATCCATTGCTATGGCACAAAGAGCGCTCTGCTTATAATCACTAAAAAGCGTCACTCATCTTAGTTCATCGCGACCTCACAAAGTTACATTATAATTAATCTCTTATTTACTTTGCGTCTACACTTGGTTCTAATGAGATGATTCGTGCTGAACACAACACCTGAACAAAAACGCACCATTTGCCAAATCTTTAATTGAGGGTGCTATTGATTTCGTTTGAGGGTGCTTAGCATTATTTCCTAATGACAGTACAGCACAAGCTAGAAATAACTGACTTAAAATAATTTTGTTCTAACTGTTCTAATAATTTTGGCCACCACTGTAGGTTTACTATTAATACTGCAGAAAGTTCTTTAATGTATTCTACTCTTCTTCAGGCGACTGCGGAGTAATGTGGAGGGGAAGTATCTGATCGACGGAGTGCCATTTAGCTGCTGTGGCCTGCATTCTCCTCGGCCCTGCATCCAGCATCAAATCACTAACAACTCAGCACACTATAATTACGACTACCAGAAGGAGGAGCTGAACCTGAACTGGAGGGGCTGCAGACAAGCCCTGCTGGAGCACTACACACAGATAATGCAGTCCATTGGCTTAATCGTTCTCATCATCTGGCTTTTTGAGGTGTGATATTGAGCCTGTTTTCTATTGTAATATATTTTTCATTGTAATTTATTCCTGTGATGGCAAAGCTGAATTTTCAGCAGCCATTACTCCAGTCTTCAATGTCACATGATCCTTCAGAAATCTAATATGCAGATTTCTTATTATTATTATCAGTGATGAAAACAGTTGTGCTACTTAATATTTTTGTGGAAACTGATACACTGCCATTTAAAAGTTTAGGGTTTTTTATTAATTTTTTTAATCAGCAAGGATGTGTTAAATTGAGCAAAGTGACATTTAAAATGTTACAAAAGATTTATTTTCACAAAAATATTAAGCAGCCAAAACTATTTTCAACACTGATAATAATTGAAATGACTGGGAAAAACCATCCCTCTATCTATCTATCTATCTATCAATTCCTATTATAATAATTTTTTCAGTATGGATTGGTCTCACAGTTCCAGTCGAATGCAAAGATTTGCAGACATCTACTGACAAACAGATGCAATTTTAACTGGTTTAATTTTAAAAAAGAAAGTCAGTTGAGAGAGATTTGAAACTGCAACCCCTCATTCTAAAAGCAAGAAACACTAATAGCCTCTTCATTTTCTTAAATCTTTTCTCCTTCCTCTAGGTGTCAGTGTTGACAGGAGTGTGTTATCTTCAGACAGCCATGGAGAATGTGCTGAGGTTAGGAGACCCTGACTCTGAGTCTGACGGCTGGCTTCTGGAGAACAGCATTGCGGACACTGCACGTTATAACTTCAACATCATCAAGAACCTGGGAAAGTGCTACCAGGTAGATGACGATCCCAACATAGATGTACCAAGCACCAGCCAGCAAGCACAAGAGAATGTGCCTGTAAAGCAAACTTGGAGACATTGCCACAGCGCTTCTGGATTTAGTCTGTCTCAGTTCGTTCTGTTTCTTCATGTCATTCCAGACAGAGTGGATGATGATCAGATCAGATCTCTGTGTGGAGCACTGGCTGCTGTCAGACTCCTTGTGCATACAAAAATCTCACTGGATTATTGCAATTAATAGCTAAATGAATGTTTGGAAACAGGACCGGCTCCAGAATCAAATCACTGAGGGTGCTTCTTACATTAGTGAGGGTGCCTGTAAAGCAAATCCCTGTGGCCCGGTAGTACAAGAGACATTGGACATTGAGACTTACCCAGCCATTTAACAATGGCAGCCTTGGAGAGGCAGATCAAGCTCTGCATTGCCGTCTTTGACTCTTTACTTGATGCACACAAAGAGGAATGGACGTTAAGAATGGCCTGAAACAATAAAACAGAATGTGAAGGAGCTCTCAGCTGAAAGGCACTGCATTGCAATGTAATCCTTGTGCCGTACAAAAGAAAAAGATAATGAAATGTGAAATGCATTTTAAGATGCTGGGGAACAGGACTGATTTGTAACAATGGTTAACACTGCTGTAAAGAAAGATGGTAATGGAAGATAAGCTTCCCTGTGCCTCTACCCTGTAATGAAGATTATTTTGTCCATCCTAAAAATATCTTAATGATAAACACATTTCAAGTTAATCTGAAAAGGGTTCAATTATAGGCCTTTGTTTTACTAAGGAGCTATTACCATCCATAATGTATAAAATGCCTTTTTCTCTTTCACTCACTTGCTTTACTTGTTTCATAGTAGGTCCGTATTCAGTTTTTCTACTAGTAAATCGTTCACATATTGCTTGACAACAGAAGCAATCAATTGTAGTATTAAAAACACTAAAAACAGATCAAAAACTAAAAGCTAAAACTTTATAAATACTACCTATACACATTTTAAAAATAAAGAGATTAAATAAAAATGACAAATGCATACAACAAAATTTCAAAACTTAACATTTAAATGAAAAACAAAAAATAAAGCTAAAAACAATTCAAAATAGTAAAGAAGAAATGGTTATAAAAACTGAAACAGAAGCGAAACAAGTAATAGGATTATTATGCATGCATTATTGCAGCACTACTGTTTTATATAAGCCTAAATTGTTTTGAAATATGTTAAACCCATTGTGTGCTTACTCTTTTAATTCTGACTTTTTTTCTCACAATTGCTACTTTTTTCTTATATTTGGTGACTATTCAAAGCAAAATGTTTTGTCAGTTTTTATCAGGCATTTCTCATATGCAAAAATAAAGTCAGACATCTGAGAAATTAAAGGCGTAAAGTTGTTGACAAAATCTCAATTATAACAAATAAAATTAAAATTCAGAGATTTTATTTGTATTACGATTCAACTCAGATTTTTTTACCGCTTGATAAAAATGTTTTGGGTGACAAGACGGCTCCTCCAAAAAGTCTTGTCACATGGGGCTGGGGCCTTATTGTGTCTTCTAATTAAGCTTTGCCATTAGATTATATTTTTCTGCTGTATTTATCAGCATGTATTAAAACATCTAGGCTAATTTTTCATTATATTTCAGAAGTGAATAGCCTACATTTGAAAAAACAAAAAGATGTGACAATGATTCAAATCTACAGCGTTTCAAGTTTGTTCTTGTTATGTTTTGTAATCCCTTTAAGGCAAGCCAAAGGATGCTTAACTTTTGTGCACAAGAACTGTTCCAAACCAAATCCCCTGAACTAAAGAGATTGTTCTGCATTTATCTTGGAGTCACCGAGCCACCCATCCGATTAACAGCGTCTTCTCCATCTTGGATTAAAAACAAATATACTAGCCTACTCTACCAACTAGCCTTCTGCTAGAGTAGTATGTATTGGTGACGTTGTCACGTGGTACCATGGTACATGTTACGTTTCTCAGCGCTGGTAAGGAAATACAGGATTGGCTAATCACAGTAATTTGTGATTACGCGAACGTTTTATGCAAACTTTTCACGATTTCAATTTACATAATCTATTCTACAGCTTTTAATATTCATTACATTTTCCACAATAATTTCTTAGCTTGGACCATTTTGTTATATATATCCTGCCAGACATCAGATATGTAGCATTTAGTACAGTTTTGTCAAACATGCAACTACTAAGGACATCACGTGATAAGTATATTTTATACTGGAATATATTCATCACTATATAAAATGTTTATTATTATTATTCGTAACCACTCGGTTGTCAAAAAAATAACACAAAGCAAAAATAAATATTACGGAAATAAAGCATTCAAAATCAAAATATCCGTACAAAGCACCGTTGTTTGTTTTATGCCATAATCTGCGATGAATGTGGGACATAACGTTACGTAAACTGCGTACCTCATCAACAATGCTCAAAGGGCGGATATTGCGTAATCTCCGTACGAACGGTTTGTTATTGATGCGACGTCATATGAACTGTTAGTTTAGTCGATTTAATTACTTTGTGTTTGCAGTGAATGGTTTTGAAACATCCCTGTCTGTAGTCGTTTAACAAGGACATTAGGCACTGACGTCGAATCAGAAATTTGTAAGTAGTTTGGCCTCCACCATATATTTTTGCCATATTTCTACTTAAATCGCTGTGCATGTCTGTAGTAGCTAAAGCACATGAACACTGTATTGAATTATTTAACATTTCTATGTATGTTGTAACATTTCCTGTATGTTAGCGCAGTCTGTATGCGAAATCTTAAAGTAGCACTGTCAACAAACTCCCTGTCATCATCATGACTGTTCATGAGCTTTATATCCCAATATCCTTTATATCCCTTTTCAAACGACGCTTTTGTTTAGCTGTTATTTCTGGCTGTGATGAGAATGACAGACTGATTACTTCTGCAGTCATTACGTAACGTTCTGCATTGTAAGCAAGCTACATTTGTCATTTGGTTTTCGCAAACTATATAAAAAATCTCTTAGTATTTGAGATTTTTACAATGAAAAGGCCATGAACAAAGACATAATAGACAGAAATAAACCAATCATTTGCAAATCGTGTTATTTGTTTACAGCTATGACCTGTCAAAAGTTCAAAGATCAGAATCATGCTTATGGATCAGCTCTTTATCAATGACAGTCATCTGTGTGTTTTCCATTGTGGGCTTTCATATACTACATTTTGTTATTAATAATAATTATGTCTTGTCCTTTATAAAGCTTTATAAATCACATTCAATAGGCTACATACATTTCTAAGGCATTTAAGTGATCAGCATGTTCATAGCTTTGCTGAAAAAAATGTTGTGCGCAATATTAGGCATGCCTTCTACACACTGATAGTTCACACTTTTTTAGCAAGTAAAAGGCCTTTTAGTATAATTATTTTCTCAAATATGATAGTTCAGGCTTTTTTGAGGAACATTTGTAAATCTCTCAATCATTGCATTCATCATTCGATGTTTCATCCTCAAATAATAATATATAAATGTAGTTTATGTAAGCAGTCAGCATATGTTTACTGTTATAAAAATCGAATCGAGTTACATTACATGCTTATCAAAATTTGATCTTACTTTTTGGCCATATGGATATCATCTGCACCAAACCACTTTTTTATTTTTTGCAATAAAATGAATAACATTTATATTTTTGTTCTCCTCGAGTGTGAGCTCCATATTCTCACTATATCATACATATGCTTTCTTTTTTTTTTCTTGTCTTTTTTTTTATTTGGTTTATATTTTGTATAAAGATTAAATAAACTATTTTATATGTCAGGCTTTATATAATATAGCTATATTATATAATATAGCTATATTTGGTTCATGATGATAAATAATATGCCTGTAAATGTTTTTCACCAGAGCATCATGAAGATCGACATCTTCTCCCTCTTGGTCAGAGCATCTTTCCTTGCTGTGTCCGTTCTTGGGCAAACCACAGATGTTGACGAGTTTGCCAAGAAAAATGCAGACTTTGCTACCCGGTTGTACAGCAAGATTGCTAGCTCAAATGATGACAATGTAGCCGTTTCGACCCTTGGGACTACCTTGGCCTTAGCCACATTAGCAGCTGGGGCTGGTGGGGCTACTCGCACCGAGCTGCTACAGGGTATTGGTGTGGAGAAAGATGGAGAGCCAGAACGGATTCAGACCCTACTGAAGCAGCTGAGGGAGACCACTGCTCAAATCCAGGCCACTGGCCTCTTCATGAAGCAGGACGTCAAGGCAGATGACGGCTTCAGCAACCAGGTTAAGCAGTTTTATAATGCAGATGTTCAAAATGTGAATTTTGCCAATGGACAGCAGGCCAAAGGGAGCATCGATGATTACGTAAGAGGCCGAACAGGGGACAAGGTCAAAGATGTGGTGGAGAACGTAGATCCACAAAGCATGGCGATGTTCATCAGTGCGGATTTCTTCACAGGTGAGGAAAAAACAAGTGAATAATGTCGTAATTAACATTTTATCTTAATATTTCAGGTAGTAGTTGCAATTACTGTTATATATTAGCATATTTTGTTTTCTAATATATGCTAATATCATATATGTAAGGGGATAATGTATACTATCCTGCTTGTTACATGGCTATTTACCAAATATATGAATATAAATGTATAAAATATTGATCAGAGTTTAAATGTTACCTGTCCACTAAGAAAAATAGTCCATTACAATGTACAAAACAGTTAGCCTATCCACAAGATGAACATCTGACCACTAAATGCCACGATTGACCAATCAGAATCAGGTATTCCAGAGAGGCGTGTAATAAGTTTCAAAAAAGTGAATGTGAAAAAAGATAATCTCTTGATCTTTAACAGGTCAGTGGCTGCAACCCTTCAACGTTACCTTCACCCAAGAGGAACGTTTCTATGTGAACAAGTATAAGATTGTGCAAGTGCCCATGATGCTCCATTCGGGCAAATACTACCTGGCCTATGACCCCACATTAAAGGTTGGCATTCTGAAACTGCCCTGTGAGGAGGGCATTGCCATACTTGTCCTTCTTCCAGATGAAGATGTGGACTACACCTACGTTGATGAATCCATGACTGGTCAAGTGTTTCGTGGATGGGTTGAAAAGCTGAAAAAGACGTGAGTCATGTAATCAGTCTCTCACATTTTCACAAATCAATGTGTGTTTTTTTTAAATGACTCAAATCTCCATCAGACTCGTGCTGAGCAGCCAAACTGAGCAATCATATCATATGACATATTTGAAACAGTTTATAGTTACCCTGTAGAAACATGCAATTTCAAGACATATTTCTGTTGATCTCTAAAGATCAGTTTTGTCTCTGTCCTCAGGAAGCTGGAGATACAGTTCCCCAGATTTTCACTGAAGCAGTCCAACTCACTAAGTATGAGTCTGCCCAGCCTGGGCATTAAAGAGATCTTCGAGAGTACTGCAGATCTCTCTGGAATCAGCAGCAATGAAGGCCTGAAACTGTCAGAGGTGTGAGAGCTTTCCAACAATAATGACGGAAACTGTCGAAGATTTTCATGTCAATGCATTTTTCATGTCTACCAGTTACATGCACCATGATTTTAACAAGTATTGTCATAACATTGATGTGTTTGTGTGTGTATATATATACTGTACATTACTGTTTAAAAATTGTGGCTTAGTATTTTTTTATTTTTTATGTTTTTGAAAGAAGCTTCTTATGCTCACCAAGGCTGCATTAATTTAATCAATAAAAACAGTAATATTGCAATATAATGTTACAAGTTTTAATAACAGTTTTCTATGTGAATATTTTAAAATGTAATTTATTCCTGTGGTGTCCACTTTAACATTAATATATCATAAAAATATATATATAGTAAATGATGTGATATACCAGCATGCATTGACCAATGCCTCTTGATTCCAGGTGGTACAGAAGGTCACTGTGGAGGTGGATGAGACCGGAGGCTCAGTGGCCGATGCCTCCAGCAATCTCTTTATGACCCCTCTTCCTCCCAGGCTCACTTTCAACCGACCCTTCATTTTTGTCATCTACCACGAGGCCACACAGTGCATCCTCTACATAGGACGTGTGGTCGACCCAACTAAGAACTAATTATGAACAGAGAAACTACCAATGGTGGTGTACTTATTCTTATTCCTACTCATAGATTAACCTGTTGTTTTGCTTGAATAACCAACTTAGAATTGAACATTTATTTGTGTAATATAACAGAATAGTGTTTTTAATGTTTTAAAACAAAAATATCAGTATAATATAATAACAATACAATGTCTGATAAGAAAACAACTGTAAATGTATAGTGTTTTCTGAAATGGTTGATTAAGGAGATTTATTGAATGGCGTGATGAAGTGTTAACCACACAGTTTAATGTTACATGTGACAAGTAACTTGTTTTTTGTGCTTCTTGAGATTTGTCAGTATCAGCATAGTATTCTTATCAGCACTTTAACAGGCTGTTCAAATGTAACTCATTAAAGCACGCCATATTCAACATGAGTTTTATTCATTGGGTACTAAGATGTTGGCGATAATCAATCAGGTGCTGGGCAGCACCAGGCACAATCTCATTGGTGGGATGGGATGGAGAGTTCCAAAACTCTTCAATCATAAAAATACATAGTGCTTCTTTTTCTCTTAGCCACTTCAAAAATATAAAACAGAGAATTTGCAAAGCATGCTATAATACAAGAAACAAAATAATGAGGCAGTAAATTAAATACATTCAATTACTCCTCAACTGTCATTTTCGTTTTATGACATATGCTGCGAGTTTTTTTGTGAAATAAGGCAGAGATGGATCGATGCAGACCTTAACTGATGCCCCAGCATATCTTTAGCTGTTTCTGGTTTAGAATAGAATGTACACATCAAAATGGAGGGACACTGCTGCTGCAGAATGAAAAGTCTT